TCTAGGGAAGTTTCTAAGCTTCCTGGATCAGCCTTGTTTTTAAGCACTGAAGGGTCCTTGATAAATCCCGAGTCACTACAGACATACATTCTATGGAATTTTTGTTTACGAAATATGTTAAACGGCATGATGGCAAATAGGGGCAATTGACACCTAGTGTACATTAACAACTCAGAACACGTTATGAAAAAAAATTGGAAATGGTGTTTGTGTTTAACACTTTGAAAAGTTGGCTGACTAATCATGGCTCTCCATAAATTCTAAACAAGGAGCAGGTGGGCCTAATTTTCCTCTTAAAAACCTTGATGATTCTAAATGACTCAGATTAATTCCTCAGTATAAATTTTTTTCATATAATTCTCATATTACTAAAAGTTTATGACTCTATGGATGGCAAGAGATTCTAAATGTCTGACAGTTTTTCCATCAAATTGTAAACACATATTTGTTCCAAGTGCATTTCTTTTGTTTACCACAATCTCCACCACAGGAAACCGATCACCTCATGACTGTATTGCCTTGACATGACATGGAATTGTGTCACATCAGAAATCAAGACTCCAGTCAGTTCAGCTCTTTCATGCTCTTGCTGCTACTGCCTGTGCTCTTTGATTCACACATATCAATCAGTCCTTTCAACTGCTCTGCTAACTCCCAGCATTACTTCCTTCTGCTCTACTGAGTTCAGACTCATAGTGGGTTGATTATCTAGTCCCCATGATACCTAGAGTAGTCTCTATGGCATCAGCAGGGGCTCCTAGAAATGCAGGATCTTAGGCTCCATTGAATGGGCATTTCAGAATCATCATAAGAAGATCCCCAGAGGATTTGTACTCATGGTTGAGAAGGCCTGACCTTAATGTTTCTTTAACAAATTTCCTTGATTCTCATATACTTCTAGCTTTCCCTTTTTACTACCTACCCCAACCTAGTCTTTTTCTATAACACTGAAGTTACTTGTTCATATTTATCTCCAGATTTTACAGTCTTCTGTGAGGAGACAGCTTGTCTTCCTAGTACTAGCTGGACACTATTATAGAACATATTCTAGCAGCATGATTAATATTTTCTGGATGGAAGATCTTCAGATTAATTGCTATGTAGGTCATGAACCAGTTACTTAGGTGCTAATGACAAATAGCAGGTTGACATACTATGTCTTTGAAAATACTTGCATTTTCAGAAGACTCCTAAAGAAGTGGATTTAACCTAAATCATTAATAATAATACTGGATGATTTTGGAAGTCAGGTAACTAAGTAGAATTTTGAGGGCAAGTGGCTCTGTCGTCTAATTTCCTTTTACCTTGCCCATCACCAAGGTGGTCCTAATGAAATAACTCAGTGCTTTGTAGATGCTGAGTGACTTTTAAAGTGTTTTCTCCCTGCAGGAGAACCGAGCTCCATTAACTCCAAATATAGACAGAAACCACAGGTCGCATAAGAAACCTGAACATTCTTGAAATTGTGAACGAGGGTAGTTGGAGAGGTAACAGGAATACTAGAATAACTTTTCATGTAATCACTTGTCTCGGCACCTGTCTTCTTCACCAGATTGAGTTTTCAGAGCAGAGATGTCTACCTTATTTACCCAGAACTGCCTGCCAGGCACCTTGCACAAGCATGTATGTGTTTAATGAATTTGGGGGATAAAATTTTAAAGCATTGCTCGTGGCATGATCAAATAAAATGCTCTATTTGCAGCATATAAACACAGTGATAGCAGTGTGTATTATACAGCAAGGGGGTACATGTTAATTCCTAAATGCTGAATCCTGAGAGAACAATCAATATTAAGCATCAACTTTCACAGTGAGGCACATTGACATTTTTTGTTACAACTGATTTTCTTAATATCCCAGCTCCATCAGAGAAGAGAAATTAGGCAACCATGAAGCTACTTCATAAACCAACTTAGCAAGAGTCCTGCCTTTCCCTGCATAATGACTAATTGACTCACAAACGCTTTCTCTAACACTTATTTGTAGAGCTCTAACACATTAGCTACAGATTTAATGTCACCATGGTTATAATTTACATGTGGGTGGAAAGTTAACATAATGTAGAAATGTGAAATTAAGCTAGTTCGTTGTGAGTAGCGGTCCTGCTAAGATTCACTTCTCTATCCTCATTATTTTGTATTTTTATTTATCATGTTTGTTGTTTTCTCCCATTACTCACCAAATTGTCAAATAGGTCTCTGAGGATGCACAAGCACAGGGCTTCTAGAAAACAGTGTTTGGATAGTTTAAATAATGGGACAATGAAGTCAGTCATCTCCACTACAAAAAAAAAAATGTTCTTGCTTTGTTAATTGAACTTCAGCTTTAGAAGAAAGAGGGAGAGTTTAGATGGGAAACAGTAAGAAATAATCAGGTGACTGATTTGTAAGTTCTCTCAGTTTAACTGATGTTGTAAGATTAGAGAAGACACTAGTTTTTTAATGGTGCTGAATCCACAGCGAGAACTATCTAGGGGAAAAGAAATGACACAAATATTACTCTATTCATAGAGTATGAGAGGAAATACTTTTCTAATACAAAGTTAGGAAAAATAAATCAAACTGTTACAGATAAGTCACAGGAGATGAATAACTTCAAGTTTTACTTGTTCCTGAGATTACTATTATGGTGCAAATGAACGTTATTAAAATCATTCCTCTTTCATAGGAAGATGAGCCAGGGAGTGCTAATCCTGAGGACCATGCTAGCTGGCCTTACCAATTGAAATGTCATCTTGTGGAGAGTTAGAGGAATGCTCCCAGCATCAGGAGTGTCTTAGTAGCCTCAGACGCACTGTCCTCGCTATGCCTCATTGCCCACATCTAAAGATGTGATACCACCATCTATGCCTTTGTTCAAAGGACAGAAATAAAAGTGTTTATCACTTATCATTCATATTATGAGTCATTCAAACAATCATCTAGGAGCATGAAGGGCATTTTAATGGTATGTACCAGAGGACAAAATGTTATTCAGGGATAAAAGCAAGTGTTTTATTTGACAAATCTCTATTTGCTAAGTGACACCATGTAGATGTGGTATGAAAAGAAGTCACACAAAGTCAGGCAGATGACTCAGCAGAACTCTTCCAACTCTGCACATGCATTTTAGAATTATGTCTTGTGTAAAACCCCCTCCTCTTTCATAATTGGTCAGAGAAATCAAATTTTTTGGATTAGGCCTTTAGTTAGTAACCCCAGGGTAGATTCTCATTTGTAAGAGATAGCTAACATACTACTCTGCTTGAAGCACAGCAGCTTCCATCTAATTCTATAATGATCATAGTTTAAAATATTTTCCTATAATGTCTACTTTCAAAATGTGCTCAAAATCTTGAAGAACAATGGAGGAATAGTCAGGAACAAACCCTAGTGAATGAGTATATACAGAACAGCCCTCATTTACCATTGGAAGGAAATATTAAATTAAAGCTATAGCAAATGAAAGCACATGATGACAGATAATCTAATAAAATTTTATTGAGAACCAATGAAGTTGATTCCTTAACATAGAAATACATATGATTGCAAGCCCTGCCAAAAAATAGCAAAATAATCTTGGGGTAGGTTCCCTGAATATCCAAACATTTTGTTTTATATCTACAGGAAAGAACAGTACTTCTATACATCAGCACTACAGAATTGGGGTGCTCTGACCTATTTAGGGGAAGAAAAATGGAATCAGCATTCAGTGTGAGTTCTAAAGGACTACAGGTAAGTTCTAGTAGTCAAATGAGCAGATGAATAAATGTTCGCTGTTCACATTTTTTGTTTCAAAATCAGCTAGTAGAAGGCAGCACATCTTAAGATCAGAAACAAATTAACCCAATTATTTAGGAGCAGAGTGTATCTCTCAATTCAGTCATTTATGGAAGTGGTAATAATTATAGAAAATGGCCTTGGACACACTTTTACTTAAAACTACCTACCATATGTTTTTAATATCAAATAATTGGAGCTGACATCAAAGATGAAAAGTGAGCCAAATGACTGTAAGGATTAAACACTGACAACTCAGATGAGACCAAACCCAATGGCATCATGGAAATGGTTCTGATGTTAACATTTTTTATGTGCTGCAAAGTTAATCACTGCAATTTCCCATCATTACAGAAACAGAACCACATGACAGGTAAACTGAATACTGCTTGACAAGCTTTTAAGGTTGTACTAGTGAGTCTTCATGTGGAGATAAGAGATGCTATTGAGTTTTCTGGGAAGCACATTTTGGCAAGGTTTTTACCAATAAGAAAAATATCTGAGGGGAAAATGATGCAACAGAAATAGAACTGAAAGGATACCTTTTTTTTTAATATTAAGAGAGCTTTTGTAACTTTCAATTTCTACCATGGTGCTAGGGTATTAGTCTTAGTTTTATAGTCTTTGCCTGAGTTTCAAGTCCTATCAAACTTTCTTAGCTCTTAAGCATAAAAATAATGGCATAAATATAAAAATCCTGCCAGTTTGGTAAGTCTTCAAAAGCTGAAGAAGAAATGAAATCTGACTTGTGTTTGCAATGCTACATTTGCTAATGGCTCACAGTGGCTGAAGTGCAATCCATATAGGAACCATAAACTTACTCAAATGTTCTCTCTGCCTTGAAGTCCTCCCGGGGTTAAATCAATCAAGGTCTTTGGAGAAACACTATAATCAAGTCTCTTCTGGCTAAGAGAAAGTGTGTTTGTTCTTTTCTCTTGGTTAGTAGCTATAAGTGCAGGTATAGTATAGTAAGACATTTAACTTAACCAAATGAGCTTCATCCTTTCAAGTTGGATACCCACCCAAAGGCAAATTAGCTTTACTGTCTGTCAGTGCCAGCGTTGCTGTTCTGAAACCTTCACAAGAAAAGCACAGCTTACCAGCAGCACTTCTAAAATCTGAAAGGCACAGGGTTGTCCCTGACTAGTGCAAGTCACAGAAAAGTAAGCTAATGCTGGGGATTGAGCAGTGGGATGTTGAGATCCTATATTGTCAGTAGCCTTTAAAGGTTCACACATTTCCACAAACATTAGCTATTTTGGTTTTAAATGGAAAATAATAGGATATCATACCCAGGACCCAGTATACACTCTGTGGGATTTGGTTCAAAGTTTCAATAAAAACATGTTTCTGTGATGGAGAGAGCCATGGAACAGGCACTTTTAAAATTTTTAGACCCTGTTTTTTTTTTTTTAAACTAGTGAAATGTTTTAAAATTAATCAGAAACATACAGAAGTGATGAAACAAAAGTGAAAAAGGCAGTAATGGAAGGAGGAGGAGTGGGAATTGGTAAGTGGGGATTTGCCCAGAATGTGAAGCATCAAGGATTCTTCATTTACCATATAAATGCTAATCCGGTGGGCTCAAAAAGTGATGAGTATTAAGCTTGGGGTATGCAAAGAGACTGGATCTATTTGTTCCAAGCAATATCACTGGATAATACCTCTTAAATAGCATTTCTATTAAAAGCTTTGTTTTTATTCAAGTTATTGGTTATATAGCACCCCTCCCCCCTTTAAATAGAAGTACTATACTATTTTACAAAAAAACCAATGGCTACATTGGTTGAACGGAAGGAAAATATCTTATGGCTTTTAACAAATGGCCAGCACTAAACCACAGTCTTTGCAAAATAAGTAGAACACAAGCAAAAGTTTAGAAGTTCAGTAGACAGGGTTCACTCAAATCCTAGGTCATAATATATTCATACACAGAAAACTTCTTGATCATACTAAATCCAAAGAATAAACAAAATTAAATAGTTCCAAAATATACAAACTTATTTTAGAGAAAACAATAAACTGTTGTTAGCTTATCTTGAACTAATTTTTAAAGCATGACCACTACATTTTAGGAGTTTTTGATAAAAATGATGGCCTATAGAACTTGGATGCTTACTAACAAAAAGAAGCATATTCGAAAGCGCATATTATCTTTAGTTTAAATAAGCATTGTAAATTCTGAAAATGATATTCAGGTCCCAAGTCCAGTTTGCAACTCGTGGAATTTTTATACTGGACATATATAGAGTAGTGATATTTTTGTCCCCTTTCATAATCAACCACTTAGTGAAAAGCAGTCATGAAACTGTCCTGTTAGAGGAATATGCTAGAAGAAGAGATGGAGGGCAATATCTAATTATAATCACACATCTATCTTTCTTTGCCTACATTTAGTTTTTTTCTGAACATTTGAAGAGCAATATTAAGACAATTATATTCATAAACTTAAATAAGAAAAATATTTCCTCCAAGTTCTAAAGTACTTTTTTATCTAAATCTACATATGCCCTCCAAATTCTGTACATATCACCAACCCTTTCTATAGGAAGAAGCCAATGTTAAGATAAGAGATTTCCTTGGATATTTTAAAGTAAAGGTAAATGTTGAAGGAACTGAACTAAAGATGAATTCTGAAAAAAAATCAAGTACACAGTTTGCCTCTGGTTTTTTAAAAAGCAAGGACAGCATTAGTCCAGGTTTGATACACAGAAAGGGTCATGCAATGAGATGCAGGGGGTAGCCTTTCCTTTCAGAGTTCAAATGCAGGGAACTTGGCTTTTGTGGGTACTAGGAGGTCAGCCAGGAAATATATTGTTCCAGCCATTCCTAAAGGAAGAGAAAAGAAGCAAACATCATTATACCGAGTGAGCCTGCTTTATTTTAGCATCAACATGATGACATTAATGGCCGTGATTTAAGTAAGTGGGCATCTGCCTGTATATATGTTGCAGCTCAACGTTAAAGGAGATCATTAGAGAGGTGGTCAGTTCTTTCTCCAGGTGGCAGCGAGGAGAAAGAGTGGAGTCAGCCAAGTTGAAGGCACAGCCCTGCCTTTTACCATATGTGAGTGTGCTCCTTCACCATGGCCACAGGCCACTCACTACCTGAGCCTCAGTCTCTGCATTGGGGATATGAGGATAGTAACTGTTTGCTTTGCTGAGATGACTTATGATCACATCTGCAAAATGCCCAGGAGGTGCCTGTCTTGACAAATGGTAGTCACCACTAGACTACGAGTACCAGTTTGTGGTCACTGTGTGAATTGATTTTTAATATTAACAAAACTCAAATTCAAATACATGAATTACCAAGCAGAAAGAAGATACTGATATTACAAAACAAATAAGTAATGTATGAAAAATACCTTCAGGGACGTCCCATGTGGCGCAGGGGTTAGTCTCAGCACTATCAAGCTATTGCTGGCCACTGAGGCAAGAGTTGGATCCCTGGCCAGGGAGCTAAACCCACATGGCACAGGAGACCTCTCCTGTCTCACCCACTGCTCCCCTCAGCAGTGTGTTTCAGTAGATCTGACTGTTCTGCTCCCCAATCTGTCTCTGGTGAATCCTCTCTACTCCTGCACCTCGGGCCTACATGTACCCAGTTCTTGTATGCATAAATAAATAAAAATAAATCTTAAAAAAAAATACCTTCAAAGAGGGAGAAAGGGGTATCTGGTGTTCTGCATCCATGTTCTCCATAATCGAGGCACCACTCAGCAAACTGAAAGTTAGATCAAGTTCACTTACAATAATGATTTCTTCCAAGACCCACAGAAGTTGATAGACATTATCCCTAAGAATTACTCTGATTAAAAAAAATGAGTTAATGCAGAGATATGTGTGGTCTGAAAGAGAGTAAGAAGTAGGAAAGGATTTAATGAGCATTATGAGCTGTGCATCTCTAAGGTTATCACAGAAGGAAGAAAGCTCTCTACATTTCCCTGTACCTCCCATAAATGCTGCTGAGTAGCATTATATCCTTTTAAAGAAAGTTAATTCAGCTGAATGGCTTTGGAAGATCTTTTTTAAATAACTGTGCTTGTTTTATAGACTCATGGTTTAAAAACTAAATGAATGAAATCACATTAATTAGAGCTTTTCCACAATCTTCTGGGAGGCAGTGCTTTCTTCTTGGTGGGTTGACCCTACCTTACAGGCCCTGTACAGGTACTTCATATCACGTGTGAGGTTGTACAGTGCCAGGAAGGCGTAGGCATTCCCCGCAGCGCCGTGGCACAGTCCATACCCCTTCCTCAGCAAACCGTACTGCCAGATCACATCAGCAGACTGATAGGCGTCATTGAGATACTGTTCTTCTTTGAACACCTGCAGTCAGGGGACACTGTTTTTATTATAAGGGATATAATGTAAAAGAAACGTTGGTCAACATTTCTTCTTGGTAAGTAAGGATGGGAGATGGAGAATGGAGGTGGGAGGTGGTTAGGCAAGAAAAGACTAAGAGATTTAGAGCCAGAGAAATGTGTTGTATATAATGGGGCCAAATTAGAAAAACTCACTGGTTTTGCTCTTTTTGTTTTTAAGTAACTGGGCATGACCTTGCTTGCTCGGTTCAAGTTTTATGTGTCTGTGTGCTGTATTTTACTTGGAACTTATTATCGTTAGCCATTTTCCAAAGAGCATGTGTTACCTTCTTTGGTATAAATGTTTCCTTCACTATTAGGAAGTTTCTTTACAAGATAAAGAAGAAACTTATTAACATGCAAATTTATTATGAACGACTATGTCAAAAAATACAGATACCTTTACAGTGTTTTGCCATTTCCTACATGTTTATCAAAGACTTGAGAAATATTCTGAGTAGACATATTTGAAAGCTCATTGCAAATTAAGTACTCTTAAAAGTAGAAAAGGCAGATTTAAAAGTTGTTCTTCCTTTATATCCAAGTTTCTGAAATGTAAAATGTGACATACTAATCGCTTATTTAGACTGTGAGATGCGAGCACCTATTTGTTGTTTGTATATTTTAATTTGTAGATATGGCACCAACAGGCAAAGATATCTTGGTATATTTGTTTCTTTCCCTCATAAAAACATTTTTTTTCTTGATTATGGCTTTGCTAGTCAATGTTTTTTATAAGAGATATTTGCATTTTTGTTATGGAAAATATACATCACATGAAAGGTACCATTTTAAGTGTACAGTTCTGTGGCATTAATTATATCCACAATGTTGTATAATTACCACCGTTATTGCCAAAATCATTCCAAACAGAAATTCTGTGCCCCTGAAATGGTAATTCTCCAGCCTTTGCCTCCCTCCCTCTTGTGTCAGTCCCTTGGTAATTTCTGTTCTACTTTCTATCTCTAGAGGTTTGCCTATTCTAGAAATGTCACATTAACTTTCATGTCATACAAGTGGAATCATACAGTAGTTGTCCTTTGTCTGTGGCTTATTTCACTTAGCATAATATTTTGAAGGTTCAAGCAAGCTGTAGAATGGATGAGAAATCCATTCCTTTTTTATAGCAAAGTAATATTCCATTATATACACATACCCCATTTGTTTATCTAGTCATTTGTGGTTGGACACTGGACGATTTCCACATTCTGGGTATGCTGCTAGGGAACACTGGTATATGAGTATCTGTTTTAATAGTTTTTCATTCCTTTGGGTATATAACTAGATGTGAAACTGCTGGATCTTAGGTTACCTCTGTGTTTAATTTTTTGAGAAACTGCCAACTCTTCTATAGCAGATACAGCAATGTAAAAGGAAGATTCTATTTTGAATTGAGCTTCTGGAATGCTTATCTTGGCTCTACCACTAATGCTTTGCTCTTTATTCTGCCTATTGGTGAAGCAGTCTCCTGTCTAAGGAATAGGGTCTTCTATGGTACACGGTGGATACTATGAGAAATGAATTATAATCCATTTGGCAAAGTGATCTTAGGTCCAAGAAGTGACTTATCTATTACTCATTTAAGGGCTATACATAAAGCTAATTTTAAATTATACAATTTTATGTTGTTTTCCAAAGTATTTCTGAAATGAGAAAATTCACAGTACCTTATAGGCCTGGATGAGCATGTAGATTACCCCAGGGGAACCGTGGCACCAGTGGACTAGCAGATCTCGAGTATCATCCACACAAGGAGGATAATTTCCAGAAGGAAACTTCAGCTGGCAAACATAGTCTATACTGGGCTTGACCAAACTATGTAACTTCATAGAGCTTACATGAAGACTGGGCTAAAAATGAGAAAGGTAGTACTTCTTTAGTACTTCTGAAGCAAACATACCTTCCTAAGACATGATATGAACCATAAGCCAGAAAGAAAATATGACCAAAAAGAACTTGAAGTTACTAAGAGGTTTTGGATTCCATCCAATATTTTCACATACTGAACAAACTAAAATGAGGCTATTAATTAATGCTTGGGGCTTTAGGTATGTATTATTTTTCAATATTTATTATTATCTATATACAATGCTTAAGAATGTGAGTATAAGAGAATTTCTAAAGTTTTAATACCTTACGCATACTTTAAAGGATACAAAGAAATGTATTCTACAAACCAAGCAAACGTTATTACTTTAGAGAAGTGGTAGGTAAAACTTCCAACAGATGAGGATGCTCATGAGGTAAGTGAACTGGAATCTAGATCTTAATCTGCAGTGTGACTGTAGGTCAAGCCTTTCTGCAGATACCTTGGGATGCACACTTATGCAGGACTGTTTTGATACAACAATTTATATATTTACAGGACACATAGACATATGCTCCATATTTTATTCAATTACTAGTTTTTCATTTTGTACCTACTCTTAATTCAATGCACTGCTCAGATCTTAAACAATAAATTCAAAGTGTTGTTTTTGCCAGGTACAGGTGGACACATGGGAGCGATGGGTGGGCAGAGTTGTGGAGCACAGGCAGGAAGTGGTGGTGTCAGGGAACTAGTCAATAATGACCAATAAGGCTTTCAGATACTTAGTTCAGATACCTAGTTTCTGATACTTAGTTCAGAATGTGAACTAAGTTCTCTAGGAGAAACACAGATTCCACTGTACCCAAAGAATATTATTCAAGTTCAGTTTACAATGTTAGGGTATAATGAGAGAATTCTCAAATCTGCAGGAATTATCTAATGTGGCCTATATAGATAATGTTTTGTTTTACGTTGATAACTAGATACTTACTGGAAAGACTTTTAGTTTTAAAAATTAAATCGTTTTAAATATACAATAATCTACAAATGAAAAACTTAACACTTGGGTTTTCAGATTTCTTATTGTGTGTTAATAAAAGGAGGCAGAAAAGACACTTTCTTATGACCTGCTCAAAGGAAGGTAAAAAGGCTGTCCAGTCACTAACATCTATGATTCTAACTCACCTTGAGACTTTGAAAAAGAAGAATTCTCCTTTCTGAAAAACACTTAAGAATCTGTATTTATATCTAGCTATAGACATACAATAAGGAAATGTGTTTCACTTTTGAAAACCTCTAACGATAAAACTCTTCATTGAGAAGTGAAGAATAAATACCACACTTGGTCTCTTACTGTCAGTAAAACTTAGAGTGCGACTCTGTATTCAAAAGCAGTAATAACCTTGAGGATTTCAGCTGTGTTGTCACTGTTTAGTTATAGAGAGAGGAAAGGTCTGACATTGATTTTGCATTATTATAGCCAGCTACTCAACCAGCTAGTCACACGTATATCCAAGCACTCATATTGAACATATTAATAAAACGCTTTTCTTTATGCCACACTGCACTTTGGGAAGGTAAGGGGGGGGGGGCATCTTTGCTGCCATTAAAAATCAATTTGATTTTACCATGAATTCTTATTTTTATTCACAAGTGCCTCTTTCTCCTTAAAGGGAGCTAAATAAGCCTCTGGAAATGATCCTCTCCTGAGAAGTCCTCTTCTGACCTCTCTTCCAGGTTATGCTTGCTGCAGTAAATTCTATTTGTCCTTAGTCTATTCGACTTTGGCTGATGTTCCCCAGTAGTATTAGTTCCTAAGAACTGTTGGGCATAGCATATTCAACTATTTTCAGTTAAGTTACACAAAATCCATGAAAAGGCTCTTTAGCTTTATTCTCTAAGTAAGCCTTAGGCTACATATGCTCATTTGTTTTCTATTGATTTTGTTCTTACTTTTGGAATTTGTTTCAGTGGGTTGTGCCTTATAAGGTGGAATAATATTCTTTATTCAGGACATGTGCTTGAAGAGGAGAGCAGAAGGCACTTCATGGGGCAGTACAGGTCACAACACTTCAGTTTGCACAAGCAGCACACTGTAGGCAATCAAACATTATCTAAAAACACAGTGCTTTTATATTTATACACTTTAAAATGCACCTTGACAAATATTATTCTTGTTTCTCTAGGCCAGGTATAAGGATCATGATGCAGTGGTCAACAAAACAAAAAAAAGAAATAGAGCTGAAGCACCTGTTCTCTCACCCAAGATTGCATAGTCAGGAAGTACATTTTATAGTCTCACCATCATCCCTTCTTACCTGCATCAAGAAGTAATAAATTCCTGCCTAGGCCATGAGCAGCACCTACATAGTATTCTTGATACCACTCATACATCAGTGGAGTCTTTGATGTGAAGTTTCTTTTTCTAGCTAGATTTTCTCCAGAAGTTAAGACAGTTTCACAAATCTACAGGGAGAAAATGGCAAAAAATAATGAGGGAATTAGAACACAGACCCTCCTAATGAAGATAAGGAACTTTTTGTGAAGAGGTACTGGGGAACGTAGTGAATGAGATACCATCTTAGCCATAGAAGGGCATGATTTAATTCTGTACTCAGGAAGAGGCACGCCTGTGTGTTGCCTAAAAGGGGAAAGGTAATGGGAGATCTTGAACACCTCACTAGCACCTACAAAAATTCACCTGTCAAAGGAAAGCATAAACTTCTTTAGGCACAAAAGAAGACATCTGTATCTGGGAAATGAAATCTGACTTGCAATATCTCTGAAAGGGCCTCTCGACTCTCAAATGGAGCAGGCTGCCTTTCTTACACTGAGTCACTTCCTACTTACTGAGTTTCCAACAGCACTCATTTTGAAGTTACTGGTTCTCTGCCTGATCCTCAGAGGTCAAGATACACCTTCCTTCTACTTGGGATATACTAATTAGAGAAACAAACCAACAGTTTAGGCACATAATAAGTGGATTCTAAAAGACTT